ACACACAGGAAGCAATACATGGGCTCTTGGAGAGTAGAATCCATGCAGATCACAGTCATGATGAGGGTGTTTCCTAACAGGGCTGTGGTGTACATAGCACTCAGGAAGATAGCCAGCCAGAGATATGAAGACTGCAAACCTGGAATGCCCACAAGGATGAAGGCAGCTGGGGACTCCATTGTGTGGTTGTAAGCTGGCCCCAGCATCATCAATGACATTGCTTTCTTACTACTGCACAAAGAAATGAAAGAATATGATGCAGTTCTCGAAGCTATGTTCAAACCTTTCATTTTAGTAACCCTAAATGTGTTTTCAGTTTGGAAATATTTCAAGTCCACGAAATAAATCTGGTTAAGTTATCCTGTTCATTCTTCCATCTCATTACCTTACTAATTTCTAGTCATAATTCAAGGGTTCTTGTGTTTTATTTCTCTCTCTCTTTCTTTCCCTCTATCTTTCCTTTCCTCCTTCTCTCCTTCCCTTCTTCTCTCCCATCTCTGCTGCCTCTTTCTCTCTTTCACACACACACACACACACACACACACACACACACACCATCCCCTTTGGTCAAGTTATGTCTCTATCTTCTGATTTTTCATGAAATTTTCCACATTGATCTATGAGAGACCTATATGGACAATTCCAGTATTCTATCCATGACTGTACTATGTGCACTAAACTATGAGCCTTTTCTCAAGGACTTATACCAAATATTCCTTAGCTGTGCAGCCCAAGTTTATTCAAACGTAAATATGTGTTGGGTGCCCATGGCTCATGTCTTCAGACCCAGTCTATTTTAATACTCTGTTTCTAGTTAACCATGAAAAAAGCTGGAATGGTGTTGTGGCTCAAAAGGTAACGCCCTAGTTCTTGAGCAAGAAAACAAACTGGCAGCACAATGCTTGAGTTCAAGCCCAAGTGAAAAAGTAATATATTACTTCATTGAAATGAAGAACTTCAACAAAATCAGTAATATGAGGAAACAATTTTAATTTCTTTTTTCTTTTTTTTATTGTGAAAATACCATACAGAGAAGTTACAATTACATGGGCAAGATAATGAGTACATTTCTTATCAAGCATTGTAGCCTTCCTTTGTTTCCCCTTCCCATTCCTTCCCATCCTCCCTCCCCCCACATGCTCCCCTAGTCCCCCTCTCCCTCCCCCCGCCAAAGATGTAAAGTTTGTTTTTCGACATAATGATTTGTAATCTCATTGTGGCATTGAGAACAATTTTAATTTCATCTCTGTGCTCACCTAATAAAAGTTAAATAATTGTTGATTAAGCAATGAATTTCTTGAAGTCAAATGGCATATTATGTTCCCTTGGGATGGTACCTAGATAAAATATGAAGAAGCATTTTAAGTTTTGTTAATGAGTTAAAATAAGGTTATTAAGAAGCATTATACAGGAGAGATGGGGGAGAATGATGAAAGAGGTAACATTGATCAAGATGTATTTTACTTATAAATTGGAACTTTTTTGCCTTTTATTTTCACCAGAGCTGAGGACCAAACTCAGGACCTTGCACTTCCTAGGCAAGTGCTCCTCCACTGAGCAACATCCCCAACCACTGGCCACTGAAATCTTTTTGTAAACTACTTAAGGATAATAAAAATTAGAGGAAAGGAAAGAAAGAAAGAGAGAGAGACAGAGAGAGAAAGAAAGAAAGAAAGAAAGAAAGAAAGAAAGAAAGAAAGAAAGAAAGAAAGAAAGAAAGAAAGAAAGAAAGGAAAAGAAAGAAAGAAAGGAAGGAA